ATAAATTACAGCTTATGGGGGGTCATTGGGCCACATAAGCCTTCCCACCGTGTCAAGGTGAAGGCCCCAGGGAAGGTTTCAGAAGCCTAGACGAGCAATATGATATAGGACACTTTGGATGGGCTTTTTTCAAAGGCCTGCACTGAACACAATACCAGTCACCATTTCAGGGTTTTTTCCATTGGCAAGGGCACCCTTAGCTACATGTCAAAAATATCAGTCACGCCACGTGGACCTGCATTTCAAGGAAACAAAGGACCAGGACATGAACGATGCAGGACAAAGCGTATTGCTAAGGTAGCGCACCCCACAATGTTCTATTGATGGGACCAAGCCATAGATGGTACACAAATAATCAAACATTTGTATCACAGCATATGAGACTTTGTGTGCCTTTTGTTTCTGAACCATAGCCACGTTGCATCCTCTATGGCCATGATACAGTAATGGGCCAGCAAACACCAAATAAGGTCCATCACTTACACCAAAAGCCAAGTAGTCACTTTAGGCTGGCTCTGTTAATGGGACAGAGCGCGTGATCCATTTGGCTGGAGCTGTGATCCCAAAAGGTAAAACAATGTACTTTTAAACTGCAGTGCCTGGCCCTGAAGCACAGCGCACATGCTGACATCATTTCTTTTTTTAACGCATTAGCCCTTTGCAAGCCAAGCTGGCCCTGTTCGGTACCGTAAACGCTGATTCACAGCAGAGGGGCGCGTTGGGCAGCTGGGTTATCAGTGCACCGACAAGGTGCACGCTTGCACTGTGTGCCACGCTTGGGGGGGGGGGGCTGAATTTTAGGCCCAAAGGGTTGGCGCTACATTTGCAAACCTTGCGCGTGAACCCCGACCACCTTGGACGATGGGCATCTAGCCGGCATGCCAGTGCAGGCTGCCGGCCTGGCCCTCGGCCATGGCTGACGGCCTTGAGTCTTTGGGGCTGGGGGGGGACAGTGGAGAAGGGGCCCCTGCAACGCACATGCCCTGCGGCCAGCCCAGGTTGCAATGGGCCTATCGTGGCTGGCTCCCCTTTCCCTGTAGGCTGCTGCCCTCTGCTGAGCCAGCTCCCTGCAGCAGCCCCCTTCGGCCGCTAGGGGGACGCTCAGCGCCAGCCTGTGCCGAGGCGGTTTCCGTTTCCTGTGCGCCGCCCGCCGGGAGGGGCCCCGTGCAGGTAGGAGCGCGCGCCCCGGGCCCAGGCTGGAGCAGGGAGCGCAGCGCAGGGCGCGCTGGGGGAGGGGCACCAGTGGAGCCGGGGGGCCCCGGGTACTAAGGGGGAAGTGGGGACTGGGGAAGGGAACTGAGCCCGGCCTGTCCCCTCCCCCCCGGGGGGGGGGGCGGTGCTCAGGCGCTACTTCGGGCTGAGGCAGGAATCTTGCCTCTCCCTGGTGCAGCGGTGTGCAATGGTATACACGTGTGTGTGCAGCAGTGTGCAATGGCAGGGCCCGGGTGTGGGTGCAAATAACGTGTGGGTGCAGCAGTGTGCAATGGTAGGTAGGTGTGTGTGTGCGCAAGTGTGCAAATAGCGTGTGTGGGTACAGCAGTGTGCCATGGTAGGTAGGTGTGTGCGCGCAAGTGTGCAAATAGCGTGTGTAGGTACAGCAGTGTGCAATGGTAGGTAGGTGTGTGTGCGCAAGTGTGCAAATAGCGTGTGTGGGTACAGCAGTGTGCCATGGTAGGTAGGTGTGTGTGCGCAAGTGTGCAAATAGCGTGTGTGGGTGCAGCAGTGTGCCATGGTAGGTAGGTGTGTGTGCGCAAGTGTGCAAATAGCGTGTGTGGGTACAGCAGTGTGCCATGGTAGGTAGGTGTGTGTGTGCACAGCACTGTGCAATGGCGGGGTGTGTGCGGAAGTGTGCACATAGCGTGTGTGGGTAAAGCAGTGTGCAATGACACACGTGTGTGTGTGCGCGCAAATATCATGCGTGGGTGCAGCAGTGTGCAATGGCAGGCGTGTGTGTGCTGTTGTTGCCTGCAGGGTCTGGTACTTGGCAGGGGCATGATTAGCTTTGATGGTCACATCCCCTATTGCAATGCCTGGTAGCTGCCCTGTGGCAGGTGCTGCTGGTGGCCCTGAGCTGCTGCCTTTAGTGAGAGATCCCACAGGGAGCCACCCTGCCTCCAAAAGGAAGCGCATGCCCCTACAAATGACAAGTGGTCATTGAGTCACCTGGCCTGTACCCTGGGACCTGTGTGAGGACTCCTGGTGTGTATGATCGGGTGGAGCTGGTTAGGAAGCATACATATGCGTGTGTGCATGCATGTAAACAGGGTGTGAAATTTCCCAGGCAGCTGGGTGCTCCTGTGCTGTGCATGGTCCTGTTTCAAGTGGAGGGAGGTGTTAACTGCTTGATTCCACTCTTACAAGTTCCTCATTTGCACCAGGTGAATTAAGCACCAGGTGACTGCTGGGGTAACCTTGTGGGATCTTGATGTTCTTGTTATTCCACAGGTGGTGGTATTCATTGATTATTTTTATTGTGGTAGCAACCAGCAGCTCCAGTCAGGATCAGGGCCCCAGGGTGCCAGGCCTTGCACAGCCACACCCACAAAAGACAGTCCCTGCCCTAAAGAACTTACAGTATTACACCCCAATCCTCCGAAGCTTTATGCCTGGGCTTAACTTTATGCACTGTGAATAGTCAACAGAATTACTTGCAGTGCTTAAAGTTAAGCACGTGCCTAGGTCTTAGTAGGGTCAGGGTCATAGCAGTAGAAGAGTCAGAAATTAAATCTTTGTTGAAAGCAACATACAGTCAGGCTAAAATCATATTTCAAAAAAACAGGAGGAGTTCCTTCCTCTGGTTACGAATGACACTTAAAATGATTGAAACTGAAAAAAAATCTAATTTACTTCTATCTATGGTTTTGGTTATTTTTACGTTTTGTATTTAGACAATGAAAATAGACCAGTTGCTTTAATGTTTTGGTTCTTCTGTATTAACCCATGAAACAATGCAGGGAATGTTTTTTTTTTAATTAAAAAAAATTGTTTGAATTTAAAGGGGCATGACCTAGATAGGAGCCAAACTTTTAAAATGCGTAAGGAGTGGGGGGAGCCCTCCAGCTTTTCTAAAAACCTAAGACCAACATGGCTTGTACAAATTAAAAGGGAAAAAATCCAGTGGAAACAGTTGCTTCTAAACAAATACACCTCTACCCCAATATAACGTGACCCGATATAACACGAATTTGGATATAACACGGTAAAGCAGTGCTCCGGAGGGGTGGGGCTGCGCACTCTGGTGGATCAAAGCAAGTTCGAAATAACGCGGTTTCACCTATAACACGGTAAGATTTTTTGGCTCCCGAGGACAGCGTATATCAGGGTAGAGGTGTAGATACTTCTCTGCAGAGATTCCAACTCTGCCCCACAGAGAACCTGAAAGTGAAATTGACTAAACAACAGTAGAGGTGACTTTGTTGATCCCCATTGTCTACACTGGGAGAAATGCAAAAAGTGAACAAAGGAACTAAACAGTGATGACTTAAATCAGATCCTTACAATCCTTTCATTTTTAAAAATCTTACGCTGTTTAGGTTCTTATATCATGCTCAGCAGTACGAAATCCGAGCACCCAATGTGTTACTAGTAACAGCAAAAAGTGTTTTGTTTGCAACATTATGATCTTTTAAGTTCAGTGTAGTTAATGGTTTTTAAAACACCTATGGAGTGTGTCTGTTTATAGCGGGTGTTGAGAACACTTCTTAAAAAACAGAACCAAGACTCCCTGATCATTGTGTCTCACTATTCTATTGATTAAAATTAGGCCACATCTAAATTAGGAAATATTGTTAGATTTTAAAACATATTAGTCAATGTGTTTTAACTAATACGAATTTTAAACAGGACTTTGGTCCTAGTGTAGACAGGACAACTCGTGTTTAAAAACATGTTACCTGGTCATGGTTAACCCTCAACTCCCCTTATTTATCCGAGTCTACCCTTAGTGAGACCTTCTCGCTAGGTTTGTGTGAAAAAGATTTTTCAGTTCACTGGCAGTTTTTAAAAAAAAATGTTTTGGGTCAAACTGAAGACTTTTTTTTTTTCAGCAAATTGAAAAGTAAAATTAATTTGTTTCAGGTCAAACAAATCATTTTGTTTTGACAAAACTGAAACATTGTTTTGATTGACCATTTTTGATTGTTTTGAATAAAATTAAAGGACACTTTGAAACAAAAAGTTGTTTCAAACTGAAAAATTGAAACATTTTGAAAATATTGAAACAAAAGTATTTTGATTTTTTTCCAGAATTGTTTAATGTTTTTTTCCAATCCAAAACAATCAGATGAAACCAACACGAATTCGCTAAATGTTTTGGTGTCACCGAATCGTCATTTTTTGCCCAGCTCTATATCTGATGCTTTCCTTCCAGAAACCTGTAACTGATCCGTGTTTGAACATCTGTCTGATTTCAGAGAGAAAAGAAGAATCCATCTCTTGTGCTTGAAACAAACGGATAGTCTGGATGATCTTTGAATAGAAGAGCACAATGCCTTTCTTGCATGGCTTCCGCAGGATCATTTTTGAGTATCAGCCACTGGTAGATGAGATCTTGGGATGTTTGGGGATACAGGATCCTGAAAAGCAGGAAACTCTAGAGAGGTAACAAATTTCAAGACTCTGGTGGCCTTTACTCAGTGTTTTTTGTTTGTTTGTTTGTTTTTAAAGTAAGTCACAAACTGAATGAAGGATTAAATAAGTGGTTGTGGGTTACTCGAAGCTTATCTCCACAGAAGCTCCTCTGAATAGCTGTGTTGTATCTAATTAACCCTCTAAATTGTTGTTATTGTTGTTTGTATTACAGTAGCATGTGGAGGTCATACCTGAAATCAGGGCCCCGCTGTTGTATAGGCATGTTGTAAGAGGCGGTCCCTGCCCCCAGTGAGTTTACAATTTAAATAGACAAGACATACAAGAAGTGGACGAGGAAGCAGAGAGGTGAAATGACTTGCCCAAGGTCACCTGGCAGGTCCAGTGGCAGAGCTGGGACAAGAACCCAGGTGTCCTAAGGCCCAGTCCAGCGGGCTAGCTGGTGCGCTCTCCCTGAATCACTGACTGTACCGTCAGAGGCCTTTGCTGTAGAAAGCTGGATGCTAATGTTGGATGGATGTGGGTGCCAAGAAGATTTGGGGAGCCCTTTAATAGAGAGGAGCCAATTGTTTACACAGGGGTTAAAAGGCCGATTACGGTGTTCCCCAGAACCTGCAGAGAAGGGCGGTTTAACCCTTGAGAGAGACCCTCCCTGTTAGTCTGTTGACCTGGGGCGAACTCTTACGATAGGAACTAAGGGGAGTTCTCTCAGGCTGCTGACACTTAATTCTGAGCAAATAAAACCTCCCCCGGCGGTCAGACCCTAAACGAGAGCAGGGCGCAATGCACCGAGGGGGCGGCTGGCTCCCGCAACACAAGACTGGAGCGATAGGAGGGCAGGACACCTGCAGAGACCGTTATTGGCCCAATTCCCTTTTCCAACGCACATCCCAGGAGAAATGCTGGAGCTCTAACAATGGGCCACTTTTCTGTGTCTCAAGCCCCAGCTGCCTAGCTGAAGACAGCAGCAAATTCTTGGTCCTCAACAAGCTGTTGGAGAGAGAGACCCAGTCCCCATTCTACCAAGAAGGCGTGAGCTACTCCTTGTTGAAGGTAGCTGAACTCGGGCTGGTGCCTGCAGCTGAAATCCTCCTGCAGAACGGGGCCAATCTTATCTTTGAAGGTAAATCTGGGGGAGATGATGCGTTCTAAGCAGCCCCCCCGTTCCTGACGCAAACAGGCTCCGCAGGCGGCGGAGAGGGAGGGAAGGGCCGTTTGTGGGCTGGCCAGTGGATTGGAGCCACGACGCAGCGTCCTGGATCTGAATCAAGGTCCCAAGCCCTGCCCCTTCCTCATTCCCCGAGTTAACCTGTCTGAGGCGTGGAGCAGTGTTAGGTGTGTTATGAGTTTTGGAAGAAGTCACCGCCCAACCGCCTTCCATCAGAGGGAAGATCAGTGAGCTGGGTGGGATCATAGGATATTCCACATTCCCCTCCAAACCCCCTTCAGTGGGTAATAAAATTGGTCCTTTGCTGTCTGTCTCCTAAGACCTTCCATGCCCCTCTCCCTCACAATGGATTGATCCCCCCCAGCCCCCCGAACGCTTAAGCCAGGGAGAGGATGCTGCGTTGCCTTTTTTTAATCAATGTTAATGAAAATGCAATTGCTGGCACTGGGCCTGGTCTCTCCCATCGTTCCTTGGTGCTTTTCTCTGAGCCAGCTTAGAAATGCATTGTGCTAATGGTCTGGGCATCGCAGGAAGCTGGTTAGTGCCTTTAGGTTTAAATCCTAGGTAGGAACGTGCTGGCTTCCCAGGGCGCAAGCACCAACGTGGTTCCAGGGAAACAGGAAAATGTTAGGCCAGAATCTGATGACACCACTTTGATTTTACCAACTCGTGGGGCAGGCGATGCGCTAGTGCAGTGGTTTGTCTGGCAGTCTCTGTAGCACAGAGGACGCTGCAGGGGGACTGCATGGCTCAGGGGCGAGTAATGGGCTCTGTGGCCCCCTCACCTTTAGGTTGCCAGTTCAAATCCACCAACACTGACAACAAGCTGTTACTGACTGGTGGCTGCTTGTGTGAGATGAGCAAGGTGGGGGTTCCAGCCAGTTCAGTGGTCACATCAGACACCCGTGTTGCCAGTCCCAACAGCGAGCACACGGATGCGAGCCCCCAGGATGAAACCACCCCTTCAGCTCAGGATTGAGGCATGCTGGCTGGTCTGTACCGACTAGCTTGTCCTAAGCGTGGCAGTGCTGTACCTGGGTAGTGAACGCCAGGCTCCAGGGCTGCACGTCCGGCCTCGCTCAGCAACGCTCCTTGCATTAGCTTTGTGTGGTAGCACATGGCCTGTTTAATAGGGTGAAGGGTTTAAAACACTGCAGAACCCAACACTGACTCTTCTGTTCAGCCCGTGGTCAGAGAAACCCTCCCTCCCGGCAGTGGCTGGGCTTTTGTGACATCACCCCCGGAATGCTGGCTGTGCTCCCGCAGGGTGGCTGGGTTTAAACAGCCAGCCCCGGGATCTGGGGAACATCCAGCTGTTGGGAAGGGGGTGGGGATGGGGGAACTGGGCCATGAATTGCTTCCCTTGCAGGCCCAGCCGCACCAGGGCTGCAGTGACAAGCAGTGAGTCTCTTGTCCATCCATTCACCCCTCCCCCCAGCCTTGCTGCCAGGGAGGCGATTGGGGCCTGCCTGTGGGTTGCAGAGCTTGTAGGGGATGCGGGCTGCCCCATTGCCACAAAAGCAGGGCTGCAGCCTGCCAGAAAGGGGCTGGGATGGAGTTGGCTCTTCTGATCCAGCTGCTGGAGGCTTAGGGCCAGCTTGTTCATCGGCCTAGAGACGAGGCCCGCACAATGGCAGAGCCTGGGCGGTCAATAGCTTAGCTTCAGCCCAGCCCTCCCTGTCATTCCTCCAAGCCAAGCAGGATCCCAGCCCCTTCCCACGCTCTCAGCCCCGTCTGGGGAGCTGGACTCTCCGAACCCAGCTGCTTTGGGTTATTCTGCCTTATCGTGGACTGTTTCATATTTTTTGGAGGGCGTCTTTAGTCCTGAAACTCCCTGACTTGTTGTTCGGTCTGGCCCTAGATCCCGTCACCTATTACACTGCTCTGCACATCGCTGTTCTCCGAAACCAGCCGGACATGGTGGAGCTGCTAGTGCGCCGCGGGGCGGACATTAACCGGAGAGATCGGGTATGGAAAGCACCCACCTTAGACGCAGGGTTAAAGGATCTGACCTCTCCTAGGTTTATGGTACTGATAACGCCTCCTGAGAGATCTGGGCCTGTGAATTCCTTTGCAGAGAGCACAGGCAGAGAGGGATCCAGAGTGATGCCTGCTTAGCTCATCTCCCTTTAACATCTTGGGCTGCTTGGGTCCAGGTGGAGCATTGCATGCTGGGACTCTTAGTTTGCACAGGCTGCACTTCAGTAATGAGGCCTGGCTGCAGTCAGTCCTTTGCATGCCCTGCCCCGTTGCGCTAGCGCCGATGGGAGGAACCTCCGCTACTCCCTTCTGGCCGTACGAGCCCTGCTTTTCACCTGCTAAAGCGGAAGATCATTGGCTTTTTGTTGTTGTTGTTGTCTTCCTCCCCACAGATTCACGAGAGCAGCCCCCTGGACCTCGCCAGTGAGGAGCCCGAACGGCTGCCATGTTTGCGGCATCTCCTGGAACTTGGTGCCGATGTCAACGCAGCTGACAAAAATGGTCTGTGCCCCTTTCCATCCTACATCAAGAGTTAATTTCCCCCCCAGCTCCTGGTGCACTTGATTCCCACACAGAAAGCAACCGTTGGTATGTGTAGCAAATAGAATGGGCAGACAGCGTGGTCTAGTTAGAGCAGGGGACGGGGAGGCAGGACACCTGGGTTCTTTTGCCTAGGCTGTTAAATTTGGTTCTGGATTTCTGAATCGCCCAGTGCTCAGCCCGTTTTAGAAGTAGGAACCACCTGTGGAAATTCAGATCCAGGTTAAGACCTTCAAACCCTACCGGCGTTCAGGGGCATTGGCAGCTCTAGGACAGACAAGACAGGCAGGTATTTAACCACATTCAAACATGGTGGGTCTCAGCCCTGCTTTAGCACTGCAGTGTAGCAGTGCTCAGACTACCTGGCATTGCTAGTCTCTGGCGCCTTTGGGCTAGCACGCTTAATTCCTGCCCACAGCAGTCTGGGCTAGTGACACTCGGGCTGTAACATGCTTGCAGTTGCCCCACTGTGCTCAGGGGCTAATGGACGAGTCACAATGTCTGGTGCTCCCCCTGGTGACTCTAAAGCAGTATTGCGCTAACACGCACTAGCCCCAAGTGGGGTTGCCAACGGCAGGTAGGGGAGAGCGAACAATGGAGGGAGGGGGGATGGAGTGAGCCGGGCAGGGTCTCGGGGAAGGGGCGGGGCAAGGATGTTGAGGTTTCTGTGATTAGACAGTTGGCAACCCAATCCCTAAGGCTGTGTGTGCTCCCGCTGCTGCATCCTTGTGCAGTTTGAATAGCTCACTAAGGGGGTGCATTATTTTTTCTCCTTCAAGGCAGAGCTATATGCAGAGTGTTCCCCTCCATACTGTCACGGTTCGTGGACAGGGGCAGCCCCAAAAGGGACCCTTCCTAGAAGTCACCCTGATGTAATGCTCCCCCTCCCTGTTTTACGCTCTTCTCCCCAGGAAAGACAGCTTTGCTGCATGCCCTGGGCAGCAGCGATGGAGTTCAGATCCACAACACCGAAAACATCCGGCTCCTGTTGGAAGGAGGTGAGGGCAACCGAGCAGCTGTCGGCTCACTTCCCTGTAAAGACCGAGCGCTCGTTCGGGCAGGGCCCGTCCGTTCTGTGTTTGGACAGCACCGAGCACCATGGTCTATGCCGGGGTTCCTAGGTGCTACCACAATGCAAGCAAATAACGTAACATTTGGCACTGGCCTTTCCTCCCTGCAATAGTCCAAGCTGGGCTTTGTCTCTCCTGATTCACCTGCCCCCAAGTGCAATAACTCACAGCTTCACCCTTTCTGGTTCATGTCTGATAGTCCTAAAAGCTCCTGCTTCAGCCTGCAGGGGTCAGGAAGAGATCGCCCTTCCCACCCTATTCTGGAGTTTGTTTGGTCTCCTCCCTCTGAAGTATGAGGGATGACCACGGCTGGAGATAGGAGGGCCAGGGCTTTCAGGTGGCCCCAGGCATTCTCTCTCTGAGGTGCTTGGCTGGCTGGTTCTTGCTCCCATGCTCTGGGTCTGAACTGATCGCCATGTGGGATCAGTCGGGAGGGGATTTTCCCCCAGGTCAGACTGGCAATGCCTGTGGGGTTTTTTTGCCTTCCTCTGCAGCGTGGGGTATGGGTTGCTTGCCAAGATCAGCTGGGTATATCTGGCTTAATCATTTCTTCTACAGGGGCCTGGCATTGGTGCACATCAGTCCCCCCATCCTCTGCCTGCGACATCATAATATTGGTCTAATGTCAGTGGTTGGGTTTAGCATGCGGGTGCTGGGGCCTGTGATATACAGGTCAGACCAGATGATCTCGTGGTGCCCTCTGACCTTATACTCGATGACAGCTTCACTCTTCTTAAGCCTATTTGTCACTGTCTGGATGAAACCCTTGTATTGGTCACACTGTGAACCCTCGGTGGAGATTGTTTTAACTGGCAGCACAGGTTGGTCAGAGAGATGCTGTCCCTCCAGGTGAAACAGTCACAGTTGCTACTGTGCGCTCCATCAACTCCCTAAATGGCAGGCAGAGGAGGGCTGGAGATGAGTGACAATGGGGCTGCAGTTCAGAGGAGAGGTACCATGTGTTGTGACACATACCTGCACGTGCTCTTCGGGGTCAGCCCCCCGTTCTAGGGAGTCGGTGTCCATTGCAGCATCTGACCATGGCTCCCCCTTTTGTCTCTGGCTTCAGGAGCAGACGTGAAGGCCACCACGAAAGATGGCGACACCGTCTTCACCTGCATCATCTTCCTGCTTGGTGAGACGGTGGGCGGGGACAAAGAGGAGGCGCGAATGATCAACCGTTTCTGCTTCCGGGTCACCCAGCTGCTGATGGCCCACGGCGCTGACCCCAGCGAGTGCCCAGCCCACGAGTCCCTCACGCACATCTGCCTCAAGAGCTTCAAGCTCCACTTCCCGCTCCTGCGCTTCCTGCTGGAGTCTGGGGCCTCCTACAACTGCTCCCTCCACGGCCCCTCGTGCTGGTCAGGCTTTCACATAGTCTTTGAGAGGCTGTGCTCTCACCTCAGCAGCTCAGAAGACGACAGCTTCTCCGCTGACCTCCTGCAGAAAGCAGAAACTGTCCTAGAGCTCATGGTGGCCAGCTCGCAGATCCCCAAACTGCCCAGCAACTTTGACATCAACTCCACCAGCTGCAGGTTCCAGGGGGAGAAGATCAAGGCCCTTTTCTACTCCCTGAAGCAGCTGCAGCACTCACCGCAGGCCCTGAAACATCTCTGCAGGGTATACATCCGGCAGCGCCTCAAACCGTGGCCAGTGGATGTGAAGATCAAGGCACTTCCTCTTCCCGATAGGCTAAAGTGGTATCTCCTCATAGACCACGGCAACGCCGGCGAGGAGGACATCTGAGCCAGGCAGGGGGCAGACCTGGAATCCTCACTCCAGTCCCTCCCCAAACACTCTGGTGACTTGGTTTCCCCACCCAGAAGAGCAAGAGGTTCCTTATGGTCCAGACCAGCTTCCTCCACTGCCAGCCAGTGCTTTGTTTGATCACGCTGTCCACAAATACCGCTGCAGGGCCTGTGCATTTAGGCGCCGCATGGGCCTGGCTTCTCTGGGAAGGGACACCCCCAACAGCATGTTACCTGAATCCCAATGAAGTGTGATTCGGGGTGGGGGAGGGTAGAGGGATAAGTGGGTTGGGCTGGTGATCTGGACTTTGTGCCTTTACGAGCGATGAGTGTTGGTAGAAAGGCTGCTTTGCATGGACGTACAGGAAACGCCTGCCTGGAGTTGGGACCATAAGCCCGGTCTGAGGAGCAGAAACCAGAGTAGAGACTCAGGCGGTGCTCCCCCTAGGTTGTCCGACTGCATGTGCCATGTTGTTTGAATAAGGCCGAGGAACAACCATTCCCCCTCTCCCTCATTCGCCCGCCAGTCTCCGGCCGTGCACTGAGTGCGGGAATGGCTGAAGCGGTGTCTTAGACGAATGGCTGCTTCTAACACTGCTGCCTCTGGGGAGCGCGGCCTGGGCAGGAAGAAGCCTCGGGCTGCTAAGGGAAAACGTTCAGCGAGCGCCTCCTCCTCCCGTCTCCTCGGGAAGCTATGCGGGAGGTTTCCCCTCAGGCCAGGCCCAAGCGCAGGCGGTGCTGGCCGAGGGATTGATGGCCTTTCGCCAGCCCCCTCTGCGCAGAGTCTTGAGCAGGCTTGGCTCTCCCCACACTTGGAAAGCAGGAGATGTGGCTCTTTGCAGCATGGGCCACATGCCAGAGGAGCAACTAAGTTCACCCAGGATTTCCAAGAGCCACATCAACGTCGACAGTCACACTCCTCTCGCAACAGCTTGTTCACCTGTTGTACCACCTGCCAGGACTAAATGAAGAGCAGAGAGAGGTTAGCGTTCTCTTCTCTCTTTCCCCCTGGCATCTGCCAAGCACTTGGGGTAAAGGCTGGAGCCCCTGTGAGCCGGGTGGGCCTTGGGCTCAGAGAAACATTTACAAATGAGAGGGAAGCGGCAGGGCTGGGCGCAGCACCTGAATCTCTAGCTCAGAGCTTTGCAATCTGCTGATATTGCAAGTGGAGGGCGGCACCTTTGTGGCAAGAGGAAACGATTGGCTTGTGAAATGAAGTGCTCAGGGGCTATTGGAGGAGATGATAGGAACAGTGCTAACATGGGGCCTGGTTGTGGATTCCCAGGCCAGGCCGTCCTTTCAGCTTAGACTAGTAGCAAGTTATTCCCGGCTCCTATAGTTGTGGGGTTTCTAGTGCAGCTCTCCACGCTGCTGCCTGCGCCACTCAGTGCCTTGGGTGTGGTGGACAAATCTACTAGAGCAGAGGAGCCACTAACCTGGTTTCCAGGCTAGGCTCCACTGACCCTCCCCCTGAGGCCGTGTCTTGGGCTGGAGGTGCCTCCTCCTGGAGGCCGTGCACCTTGGCCAGAGGAGCACACTTCTTGCAGCACTCCCTCGTTTTCTTCGCCCTGCTAAACCCTAGGTGTGATCTCAGCCTGGGGCTGCAGAGAGGAAAGGCCAAGCCACAGCACCACCCACTGAGGGCAGGTTTCCCTCCAGCGTGTTAATCACCCTAAGTGCCAAAGCCAAACAGCTGCTAAGCCAGTCTCACCCCTGGGAGAAAAAGCCAAAGCTCCAGTGAGGAAATCCACTGTGATTCGCCTCCCGATTACCAGCTAGGCCTGAAAAGCCTTCACGGATCTGGGGCTAACATTGCAGCTGGGTACAACATGAGGCTCTTCCTCCCCGGCCATCACCTCCACCCATTTGTTAACACTCACAGCAGGGCAAGAACATGAAATTCACTCTCCTGCCAAAATCCATCCACCCGCTGTCTCCCCCACCCCAAACACTTCACAGGAGCAGCTGACGATCATATTGACAAATGGGTGTAAAATGAAACACTGTGCCAGTGTCTTGCTGAGCTCAAGCCATTAAACATGACCTATTGTCATAGAAAATGGCTGCTTGTTTCCTTTGGGGCAGAGGGGGGGTTCCCCAGGGGCTCAGCAGCTGGGACCTACCTGTCCCTTAGGGGGATGAAGACTTAATGGCAGCACTCTTTAGTGGGTGGGAGGCTAGTCGCCCAGCTGTCAGTAAGTGGGTAACACTGATGGGCCAGGCCCCGTGGAATCATTCCTTATTTTCAATGAGAGATGAAACAAAGGAGGCAGTGATCGCCTGCACACATCTTTAACCCTGGGACTAGGTGTAGGACTCGATTTTGAGCTGGATGAAAGGAGTATAAAACTGGCATAACCCATCCGAAGAAGTGGGTTGTAGCCCACGAAAGCTTATGCTCTAATAAATTTGTTAGTCTCTAAGGTGCCACAAGTACTCCTGTTCTTTTTGCGGATACAGACTAACACGGCTGCTACTCTGAAACCAAAATGATGCTGACTCCCAGGATTTACACTGCTAGCGGCAGTAGAGAGATGCCAGATTTACACTAGATTGCGACCAGAATCTGAAAAAGAAATCGGGCTCAGCTGTTTGTTTACAGGGCGGACAGAATGAAAACACCTACGTTACCCAGAGCTAGGGGGGAAGAAGAGCCTTCGCACTGTTAAAGCCTGGCCCTGCAGGCAGGACGCCAAGATTTTATTCCCAGTTCTGTACTGGGCACTTGATCAAATCACTTACCTGCATGCTGTTTGGACGAGAGGGATCTTTCCCTCCTCCCGGCCAGCGGGGGACTTGCTGCTGGCAGCCCAGTAAGGGCTGTGCATAAAAAGGTACTAACGCTGTCAAGCAGTGAAGTCAGACGCCATAGACCGTTACTCTGCTGGTCCATGGCCCTACCCAAAACAGAGCAGCCACTGGGCCTGCTCTTGCCCTCTTGGGTTAATCAAGAGGGTGGCTAATTTCCCAAGAGAGGCACTGAAATAAGGGAGGGTGCCCCTTTGTAGCTGAATTCCTGCCTAAGTACCATGGTTGCTCTCTCCAACACAGGCCGACTCAGCGGCAGGTCCCAGGGGCTAGAGCAACAGCTCATTCCATGTTAAATGGTGGGGGGTTGGTTAAAGTACAGAAGCCAAGAATGGGCTGCCCTGGGCCGGCCGGGTTTGTCTACGCAGTGACGTAGCGCAGGGCAAGCCAGGGTGCAAATCGAAAGCTAGTGAGCGCCAGCGTCGCAGCCTGGCTTGCACTAAGTCACCATGCAGACAAGCCCTTAACTCCCCCCCGAGCTACTCCACCAGTCAGCGTTTCCTTGTGGGCTGCTGCTCAGCGATCACGCGACGAGCGGTAACGGAGGGGAAGTTGCTACGGCGGGGGTGGTTTGAGAGGCCTGGCGCAGGCTCCCACTCAAATGCTAGAACAGCCGTGTAAGATGGCCTGCCCGCCTGGAGCAAGCAGCACGCAGTAGTTCAGAGCCAGGCTGTAGCCCCTACCCTGACCCGGGCTGTGCTTGCTTGGAACAAGCTCACTCAGGAAGTGGCAAATACTTCCTAGCCTGTAATTCTACAACGGGCACCAGCAGTGGGGGGCCAGCCTACCCGCACAACCCCCGCTCTGGGCGAGGGGCCAGGGCTGGATTTGGAGTCTCTGTTAATGGGTAGTTGGCTACAGCAACATTATTTTTAAAATCCTTTAAGGTGAGAGATTTCCTTTCTCCTGGACATGAGAGCACAACCCCAGCAAGCAGCCTGACTCCCCCCTTCTGACTTAACTGTCCAACAGGTACAGCAGGCGAGCTGGTCCCGGCTGAGGTTGGGTATTAACCCTGGGGAAGGGGGCACTGGCCTCTCAACCCCTACGCCTCCCACCCCCGCACAGATAAATATGGATTTAGTCTTGAAAAAGTTTTTGCTCTGAAAAACTTCCCGCGATTCCATGAAGACACTAACGATTTTGCTATTACTACTGATTTTGCGGAAGATACAATGGTGATGGGCAGCCATATAAAACCCCACGATAGCCCCAGAGCCTCTTTTCTTCCTCCCCTTGGGAAGATCTGCTCCATCCTGAGGAAATGGCATAGATCTTGGAGAGAGGCCAAACAAACAAAATCACCCCTTTTCCATCACTGTAAGCGAGCCCCAGCATCTACCCCTCTCTGCCTTTGCGACAGATTTCATGTCCCAGGAACCTACAACCTCCTGCCTCAGACTGGTTTCGGGAAGGCAGCAAGAAAACGCCTCGCTGAACTGACCCCAGAGGAGAGGAGGGTTAGGAACAGCGAAGTAGTGAGCTGGAGCAGGAGCCAGTGAGTTCTAGCCCGCATCTCCTCCTGGCTCCCCTGCAGCAGGGAGAGCTGGCGCTGCGGCCTCCTCCGCGCGCCCTGAACTGAGCGGGGTTCAGGCATAGCGCACACAGCATCGGCTGGCGGCAGGCAAACAAACCAAGGCAGGGTAGTTGCAGGGTACTCTGCCTCTCGTACCCCCATCTGGTGCAGCATCAAGGCTTTTCCTCTCTAGGGAGCCTCCAGCCTGGGTAGGTGGCGTGGGCGTGTTTAAGCAGAGTGTGTACAGAGGTGCAACAGCAGGAGAGTGTATTTGGCAGCTGTCTTTTCTCACAAACAGCAACAACGCAGAAGACCCGCCCTGATCTTTCCAGCCAGCCCCAGCAGGGTTATTCAGGACACCCCACCCCACCCTGAATTTTAACCATGAAGTGTCTGGACCGCACGATAGGTGTCCTCCTGATCCCCCCAGAAGGGGCCTGCTGGGCTGGTCCTGGCACAGTGGTACCTCTTGGTAAACAGCCTCTCCCAGCCCGGGTTCATCTCATGGCAAACGTATAGACGTGGTAGATTTCGTCAGGGAAGTTCTCTTGCCTTTCTTCAGCCAGGAGATTGAGGCCTGCGCGCCGGACGATCGTCCGCACCACGTCCAGGTCCCGGCACACACTGCTGTCCACATCGTCCATGATGACTCCCTCCTGGGCCATGTTGTCCTTGATGACGACGATGCCATTGGGGCGCAGGCCAACCTTGCATCTCTTCAGGAAGTCAGACAGGTGGTCGTCAGTCAGGTGTCCTGGCAAGGGGAGAAGCACACAAGCGTTAGCAGGGACCATGGAGAACACAGACCAGTCATGAGCACGGGACCAGTATAGGAAGGGCCGAGTACTGCTGTATCTGTGTGGGGAACAGCTGGTGTTCTGTTGATCCACCCCTAGACGGGTGCGCGGGTCAGTTCTGCAGATCACGGCATCACCTAATGGATTAAGGCAAGCTGTTCTACCTGCCCTCCTCAGGTAACTCTCACACCAGCCAGTGCATAGCCTCAGTACAAGGGAACATAAGGAGGCTGGGGACAGCAAAACTGAATGGGCCTTTTCCATATGGCAGAGGTTCTCTTACCTATTACCCACTGGATCCAGATGACGTCATAGGAGTTGGGCTCGGGGCTGAAGTCCTGCAGGCCACAGCAGAAGTAGTTCCTCACTCGCCTGCCCTCGTCTCCCAGGTAGGTCCTCGCCTTGGTCAGGAAGTCCTCAGTCACATCCACCATGTCCACTGCTTTGAAGAGAGGCAACAGCAGCCTCTTGGTGATCCTGCCGATCCCAGCCCCACAGTCCAGGGCGCAGGTGGTTCCTGTCCTGTTAGGACCATCCTGAAATGAAAGTGAAAATGAGGGACAGGAGAGACATAACCCTGCCAAGAGGAACCTCAAAGCTCACAAACTACAACAGAGGGACGTGGCAATTGGCGCTGGGAACTGGATCGTGGCAATGCCAGCTGAGGGCCTCTTTTGTCGTAGAACAGCACGGTCAGTGGCACTACAAGCTGCCCTCATGTTGCCCGGCAGAGAGGAGATCCACTCCAACAGGGAGTGGGGGGCTCAGTCTCCACGGGTTATTCTATCCGTGGCCTCTCAGCTGAGATGCCAACAAGGGAGTTTCCCGCTCCCCACATTCACAGGCTGCATGGACACCTGGTTGCTACAGGTATTGAACTGAGATCATTTCCCAGTGGGCAGAGGTTTGGGGTTGGCTTCATGTGGCGCGATCAGCCAGACATCAGGACCACTCACAAATCCCCCTTTAACAGTGGGTGTGGATGACCAGCTAGGCCCTGAAGGCACTGGACAGCCAAAGGAAAGAGACAACGGTCCATCTTCCCCTGTGCAGAACGGTCAGGTCGCTAGACAGAGAGCTATGGAAAGCTGTGGGGTGGGAGAGAGCCACTCAGCAGGTGTTTGGAGCATGATGGACATCCTCCCACAGTTAAATTACAAGCTGTAGGACACCTTCGCCCCTCCCCAGACGGATCCAGACCACCTACCCGAAGGAATTTAAGCAGGAATTTTTTGGAGCTGTTGATGTCAATGCTGGAGATGTGGCCGTACCCACCCAGCATGCCGTCCACCGTGGGCGGCACATCCTTCCAGTATTTCTCAGCCTTGGAATAAAATTCCATCTCATCCTCCACCACCTCGCTTGTCATGCTGCTGAGTGGAATTGCCCCCTGGGTTAGGGACTTACCCCGCTCCTCAAAAGAGAGGAAAAGAAAACAAAGATACATCAGCCTGCCAGAAGCAAAAAGTCACTTTGCACCAAGAGCAGCACAAATCATGGAGACCAAGCAGGGCAACGTATTGTCAGGCCCTGTCTACAAGCCGCCAATGTTCATACCACCTGGGCCCATTCTGAACAGGGTTAAATGAGAAGAGTTTAACCACTGTGTTGTCCACGGTGTTCTCAATTGCAGGAGCAGCAGGAGGGCCTGGTTAATTTCACTTTACGGCTACTTGAGAAAGTTTGGGGCAGTGGCAAAAGCAGTGGAGCAACCTGCAGCCTTCCCCTTTGCAGCTATCAGGCCAGGGTTTCCCTTTCTTTTTTTCCCAATGAATATTGATGCCTGGGACACCACCCCCCTCATTAAGGAAGGTTTCCTACCAACCACCCGCAAACAGCTTCTCCCATCCCAAAAGCCCCGACAACTTCTCTCCCTTCCTGGCATCTGCTCTCTTCAAATCTATATGTGGGTTTGCCCTGTGTTCTTGGAGTTTCCATCCGTCAAGTGTTTGCAAATCCATTACAGCCTCCTTTTAAGAGCTCGCAGCCAGACGATACATACGGCGCTCTGCTAACCTTTCCTCCAAGTCATCCCTTCCTGCCCTTCTCGTTGACATGGTGAGATTCTGGGCAGCATCTTGGGGTTTTAAGCCACTTTTGCATCCTTCCAATCCTGAGCTCTTCACGGGGCCGCCCAATGAGCCACAGCACGGCATAGAATCTCTGCAGCTCCCAACACGCCCCCCCATCCCCAGCACATGCCCAGCTGCAGGGCTTGTGAGGGAGTCCTTGCAAGGCGGCCTTTAAAGCTGATTTCTGCTTGGCCTGCACTGACGGACGTCTCCCCCCAGCCAGATACAGGCTTTTAGGACCTTTCAGCTCCAATCTGGCCCTTTTATGCACCGTGAAGAGGCAGGCGAGGGGACGATGACCTCACCCCCGGTACCTATCTGGCAGGGACGTGCCCAGAACTGGACGCAACATCCCAGGTGTAGTCACACCATAACCACACGGTCATAACCCTGCTCCATGATGTGCATTTTCGGAGGCTGATCTCTCATTTTCACTCACCCGTCCCTTCCTACCCCTGCCTGAAAGCCTTATGAGAGTTACCATTTTATAGATTACATGTTTATCTAGGTTGACACCCCATCAATCACCCCCAATTACATCCAGGGTAGCTAAAAGTTATTCTAAGCACCTACCTGAAGACCGTAAATTTCAGTCATGACCATAAGTTGGACGCTTGGCAATATAATAAAGTCAAGGTATAATCAGGAATACAAGCTGTAAATTCCTAAAGACATCTCATAATTCAAACCACTGAGGACTTGATTCAGTGCGCTGAGGATTAAAAACTAGATTTAACATGGCCAAAGGGTAAATTCAAGGACTCCAAACACCTTTACAGCGAAAGAAACAGATGGTTTCGTGGACTAAATTTCCTGAGAAATATAAAAATCTTTTCAAGGGTAGCCTAAAGAGCTTCCAATACCCTGGCAGGATTTTAAACAGCAACAGAGAGGGAACAAAGTAAAAAGTATCCAGAAACTAATAGCTCAGGGAGGTGGTAACAGGTTATGGGAAGTCTCACCTTGATCACCAGCTCGAATCCAGCTTGGATTGCTAATGATGAAAAGCAGATCCCTGTTCTATGGCCTGTGTGGAAATAAATGGCTAGGTGTCAGTCCAGTGGCTATAGCGCACACGCAAATTCAATACCGCAAGTGTAAGCGATTAGCTACCATCTCAGCAAGGAACCATGGACTGAAGGGACCAGAGAGACTGAGTGTCTCTCTCTAACCTGCAGGGGGCTCCTGCACGTCAATGCTGAGGCACCTTCAGGTTTGTGATCTTGATGCCTGCACTATTCCTGTTGTGGGGATCTCAGCGGGTGTCAGTCATCAGGGCAGCCACACATGACAGATGTTAGCGATGCCCCTCAAGGCACAACTGGAAGGGGCTTAAATACTATGGGGACAAGGGCAATGTAAGAACCTACAGAATAGGGCCGTCAGCCCCGCACCTTTCATCAGCAGTAAATTCCCTTTAAAGACACTTACGATGCAATGCATCCCTGATCGGGGGGGGGGGGGGGGCATGAGTATTGGGTTCTGTGCCCCAATTTAAACCTTCCTTTGAGGACTTGAGTTGGGCAAATTTCACTGCCCCGGAGAGGGACACAATCCCATGCTCTAGGTGTCCCTAAGCCTCTGACTGCCAGATGCTGGGACTGGAGGACAGGAGATGGATCACTCGATAATTGCCCTGTTCTGTTCATTCCCTCTGAAGCATCTGGCATTAGCCACTGTCGGAAGACAGGATACTGAGCTAGATGGACCATTGACCTGACCCCTTACGGGCATTCTTGCGTTCTTATGGACCGGAAAAGGGTTGTGGCAACCCTTCACAGAGGAGGCGGCAATATTCCAGTGGGACATCGGCACTTTAAGGGCTTGTCTACACTACAAATGCTGTGCTGGTAACACCAGCAAATCTAGCTTGAGTTGCTAGTGACCAAAAGCCAAAAGCCGTCTAATGGAGACGCAGCTTCTACTGACAAAAGTTCTTTCGCTGGCATAGTTACCCCACTTCCCCGGACAACGTAAGTTACGCTGGCAGAGGGACTCTTTGCACACACACTAGGGCTTTTGCCAGCACAGCTCTGTCAGGCAGAGGGCGTGATCGTTTTCCCCACACTCCTGGCTGACATAACTATGTTGGCAAAACTTTGTCCCGTGGACCAGGCCTAAGAGAACGGACCAGGTCCACAGAGGAAGCACTGGGAGTTCGTTTTGCCCTTGGTAGGTTAGGGCCTTACCCTGCTCCATGTGAAATTAACGAGACCAGGTACTTAGGGAAACAAAGACACTTGAGCACAACTCAGAGATACTGGTGTTAAACTGAGGAGAATTTAGGTGGTTTTTTTTTTTTTTTTTTTTTAGGCTCCACTGCTCAGATCTGCCCCCGAATCACTGCAGGGATTGGGGCCCCTCTCTGCGTGCCTCCTTGCTCAGGCTGATGGGAAGAGGGAGTATCAGTGTTTGGAGGCCTGTGTCTGACTCCCAAAAGAAGTAAAGAAAGATGCCCAAGTCATTGCTGCCTGGTCCCCAGTGAGCTCCCACAACAAGCCCTCCTCCTAAGGCATCCACGCAGGCATTTCACAAGCATGCGGGACACCTGAGAGTGCCAGGAGCGCAGGTGACAACTGTGGCAGCCAGCACCTTCCTCCTGGGACGCTGCTCTGGTGCTGTCATGTGAAACTGGCGGCTCAAAGCCAAAGGGCGGGTCCTGCAGCCGGGCTCCTATCTCCAGGGCCCCTATCTCCAGCTGTCAGGCCAAAGAATGCACTCTGCACTCGACCCCAGCAGCCGGCACTCCAGTCACATGAGCATGCAGGAGTGTGACAGAGTCTGCTAAATATACATCTGCTGCCTCTTTGCATGCCAGGGTAGTTCCAGGTTTCCAACCAGACGAGCACTGAGTATACTCTATACCCAGACGGTGCCAGCAATCCCAGGGCAGAGAACATGGAACCACATCTTCCCTGCTATTGGTCAAAATCCTGCCTACAACAGGGTGTAAGTCCGGGCAGGGTCTGGCCAAGTGGACCCATATCTGCCCTAGGGGCTTTCACTCTTGCAGCTACCCCAGTGGCTAAAATCCCAGCCTAGGCAAGACCCAAGAGTTCAACGTTTCAGTACATGGCTCTCAGAAAGACCAACCAAGTGGTGCTTCAGCTGAAGAAGCGCCTGACTTGGCATGCCAGGGGCATTTGCATGATGCTGTTTTGTTACGTGCCCTCACCGGTCAGAGGAGTCACTGCACTCTCAGGAGAGAGCGGATTTGTTCTACCTTCCTACCGCAGTAAGAGTCAGATTGAAACACTGAACCCCCTTGAACCACTCTCTTCTGGAGGGGAACCTAATTGGCCCCGGGCACTCATACCCTTGTAGTGTAGCCAAGGCCTCTGATTGCCAGTACATGGGGAAATGTAATTCTCCCCGAGGGCAGCCGAACCAGCAGAGGGAGCTATAGAGTAAACAGCACACAGGGTGTTTTACCGCCATATTAGTCAGTGCAGTGGTAGAGACACCCGCCCAGGCCCCATCAGAGTTTTCCCCATTACTGGCGCTACATGGGTGCAGAAGTACAGATCCATATTTTGCTAGACTCAGCAGGTGGAAATAAACTCAGGCTCCAACCACATCCTTCTCATGTGAAAGGCAACCCCAGAACATTACACGGCACTGGCGACACACCAGCCCCAAAGCTGTGTACAAAGCTAAGGCTGGTCAAGCTTTTTGTCCCTTGCACCAACAAAGAGGCCTAGGGCACTGCGGCGATGCAGACAACGGTGCTTTTTCAGTGAAGGTTCCCCCGCCCTATCTCCTCAATCCGGCCCCACATTTTCAAACTTGGATCCGTGTTTAGACCCAACTATCAGTGGGGCTGGGCACCCACAGCCCCTACTAAAACGGTGTGAATCCAGCAGCTTTTATTTAGGTGCCTAAATTCATGCACTGAGTGTGAAAACTCTGGCCCCGGTGAATAGCGGCACACTGCATTCCCCAGCCTGCGGTGTGGCTGCTCATCGGGAGACCCTGGCACTGCCTAGCTGGGGAAGCCAGAAATGAACATGCCCCAGAGGCAGAAATCCGGCAAGCCCCTTCAGGCACCCTCATGCAGGATGCAGAAGACGACTGAAAAGCCCAACCCTTGTGCCCCTCCTCAGAGCACAGAGCAGAAAGATGTGGCTATGTACATGGTTGGGAGGTTTAACACCCCCTCTCCTTGCCAATTAAAGACCCCTGGGGCTAAAGAATCAAATGCCAGAATCAGCTAAAGCTAAAGCAGCAAATGCCAGAAGCCTAGATTGGGGGCATACAGGGAGATGACAGCTCCTCCAGAGATGGGAGGGAAGGCGCCCCTACTTCCAGGCACAGTGGGGATCCAAGCCCCATTCACAGCAGCTCTCCAACATCCTCCCCCACTTATCCTCCAACCCCATCCCCTGCAAGCGCACAGGGACTGCCCCATGCAAGATAACGCTGAACCCATCAGCAACCTCCTCCATGCAGTGATGCCCCCTTCTCACAAAAGCATTCACAGGCAGGCATCAGCAGCGAGCACAGGGGAGCCATGCTGCCAAAGGGGAGAGGGAGAAATGGGGAGCAGTGTGGAGGCCCTGGGTGGGTGGCAATTTCTCTGCAGAACTTGGGGTATCAGTGGACTAAGAAGGCTGAACCTCCTGCCTGCTCTGTGAAAGGGCAAACCAGGCCTACCCCCCCACCCCACCCTCCTGGCAAGATTGCTCAGGGAAGCAAATCCTCAGTGGACTTCGTCTACTCGACCTGTTTCTCAGCAGAAGGGCACAACACGGACTCTAAGGCCATGTCTACACTGGCACTTATGTCAGCAAAACTTTGTCGCTCGGGGGTGTGGGGAAAAAACCACCCCCCTGAGCGATGTAATTTTTGCCAGCAAAAGCACTCATGTGCACAGCGCTATGCCCGCGGGAGATGCTCTCCAGCATAGCGCTCGTTGAGCTGGTTTTATGTCGACGTTGGCATAACGCAGCTACATGAGCGTTCTTACAGCGGCACAGCTGTAGCGGTACAGCTGTGCCGCTGTTAGCTTGTACCTGTAGACATGGCCTAAGTGCTCAACTCAGCAATGTATTAGTGAGATTGCTAAAGGCAGGGGAACGAGACACAGGTCCCCGAGCCACGGACCCAGGTAAACAGTACGTAGCAGTGTGGTTAAGAAATAATACTTTGCACCTACAGCGCCCCTTTCATCCGAGGAGCTCAAAGCACTGAGATGTCACATAATGCAAGCCACACAAAGAGGGGTGTGTGCGTGCATGTGTGTGCACACACACCCTGACCATGGGGTGCACAGGGGCGCACACACACCTGATGTGGCGTTATTGACCATTTACAGGAGGAAAGCCACGTTTTGAGCTTTGGGGTGGGGATTTCCCAGATTCCCAGCTCCCCTTACAAATAAGCTCAGCCAGGACTCTTCACACACACCCCTTGAGGTTACCCCCAAATCCTGAAGATTCACCAGGGGAACCGAACTCGCGCTCCCTAGATTTCCACCTGCTGTGTGTACGGCGAATGAGTCTCCTGTGGCCAGGGCCCTGAGAAGATCAGCCTGGCATTAGCAACCAAGGACCGAAGCCTTCCCCATGTGCCAGGGTCTCTGGCTTGGAGGACCTGGCGCCCACGCAGAGGTCCGGCTGCCTGGGAGGCCCTGGGGCCGCTGGTGCATGGGGTGTCTGGGGGAGCCTGGGCCCGGTTTGGGGGTTCCTGGTTGATGGGGAGAGGCGGGGAGCACTGGGGAGGGTGTGTGCTACAGCGGACGGGGCTTCTCTCTCCAGGCCCGGGGCGGAGGAGGTGCCCCCGGGTCACCCCGCACTGGAGCAGCCCCGGGCTCCTAGCCTGCCTCTCCGCTCCCCCAGCTCCCGCGCCACGTGGGCCGGGCCGGCCGGGGGAACGCAGCGAGCCCAGGGCCTCGGGGGAACCGACCAGGGCAGGCCCGCTTCCCCCCTCCCTCCTCCCCGGGGAACCTGCTGCAGCTTCCTCCCCACCCCCGGTGCGAACTCACCCCGGGTCTGCAGCAGCTGGGGGGGGGGGAGCGGGGGTCTCCTCCCGTCCCAGCAGCAGCGATGCACCCCCTGGATTTCCCCCCCTCCTGCAGCAGCGGCGGCTGCACGCTGGCCTGCCTGCTCCTCCTCCGCTCGAGCGTAATTTCCTTAAATAGTTCAGAGTGAAAATCCCTCCCGTCAGGGCCAGGGGGAGAGATTTATTCCAGGTTACAGCAGGGAGCCACCTACCAGGGGGAGGGGAGTGAGAGCGCTGCTCCAGCTCCCCGGCTGGGCTCTGCCCCTCCCTCTCCAGACCAAGGCAGAGCCCCCAGGCATGAAGGCTTTTAGGAAATAACACCATGGGACCCAGGCAGGTTGAGGATGGCCGGAGAGTTAGGGCTGTTGTCAGAGCACACGCAGCTCAGACTGAGGCCTGGGCCGGTGTGGGCGCCCAGCGCCTCTGGAAATGTGGCCCTTTGTACCTCTGCGTGGTAGTTTCTGTCTCACTCCCCAGCCTTAAGGGCCCCAGAGGGTGTTTGCAGCCCATGCCCGTGCAACCCGATTTGCGAACGTTCGATTGGCACGGTGAGCTTTACTAGCGCTGCCCAAGCTAGTAAAGCGCATCTGGCCCCTTGGTCTCTCTCTGCGCAGCACTGCTGAAATGCAGCTGCCTATGGGGTGGAGAGCGGGGGCCAATTCGTGCACATCGATGAACAAAGAGGGCAAGGAAGGGAAATTTTGGGTGAAGGGCACCAGGGCAAACTTCCTGTTCTTAGGAGGGGAGGTATCCTGGAGCAGAGGTTATGGTCCTGGACTGGAAGTCAGAAAAGCTGGCTTCTGCCCTTAGCTGTGCCACTGACTGAGTGACCTCTGGAAAGTCACATCACCTCACGTCACAGCTCTGTGCCAAGTTTCTCCATTTGCAAAACTGAGTATTGACAGGTTTCTGAGTAGCAGCCATGTTAGTCTGTATCCGCAAAAAGAACAGGAGTACTTGTGGCACCTTAGAGACTAACTAATTTATTTGAGCATAAGCTTTTGTGGGCTACAGCCCACTTCATCGGATGCAAGCAGTGGAAAATACAGTAGGAAGATATATATATATATATATACACAGAGAACATGAAACAATGGGTGTTACCATACACACTATAAGGAGAGTGATCAGTTAAGGTGAGCTATTATCAGCAGGAGAAGGAAAAAAAGTATGTTCACATATTGTGATTCTGTAAAGCTGCTCGGGGTCTTTGTTTTTTCAATATTGACTAGTAGGGGGTTTTAATGCTTATCTACCAGCTAAGTGAGCGATGGCCCAGGGTGAGCCGTCACTAGCACAGGTACTTACATGGCCCCTGTTACCACAGTATCTGAGCAGCTCGCACCGTCCCTGTGAGGTAGGGGAGAGCCATTTCACGGTTGGGGAACTGAGGCAGAGAGACCAAGACCCGGATTCACAAAGGGATTGAGGTGTTGCCATGCTGAGCATGGCAGCGCCTGATTTTAGGAGCCCAGAAAATCCCAAGAACTGTGATTCACAAAGCCCGAGTTCAGCGCCTCGGCGCCCTGTACAATGAACGGGAAGGAAGGCCTTAGAACAGGGGTGGGCAAACTTTTTTGCCCGAGGGCCACATCTGGGTGGTGAAATTGTATGCAGGGCCATGAATGTAGGGCTGGAGCAGGGGATTGGGGTGTGGGAGGGAGTGTGGGGTGTGGGAGGGGGTGTGATGTGCAGGAAGGGGCTCAGGTCAGGGGGTCGGGGTGCAGGAGGGGTTGTGGAGTGCGAGAAGGGGCTCAGGGCAGGGGGTTAGGGGGCTCAGGGCAGGGGGCTGGGATGCGGGGTACAGGAGGGGTTCGGGGTGCAGCCCGGCACTGCTTGCCTCGAGGGGCTCTGGGGTGGCAGCGGCGCGCAGCAGGGCTAAGGCAGGCTCCCTGCCTGCCCTAGCCCCACGCCACTCCCAGAAGTGTCCAGCAT